GAAACTAATCTGTGCCTGGGTTTCCAATATGGCCATCTCCATAGACGCACATCATTCAGCTGGTTAACGAATATATCATTTAAAGTGCTATCCGGACAGAGATTTACTGTGAGTGACTCAATCAACAGTGGCCTACATTTGAAACAAAGCATTTCAAACGGAAAAAAACACGTATCCGTTTCTAGCAGTCGGTTATCAGCGGCATTATTGAACAGTAACATGGAGAACATGTTTAATAGAAAAGGAGTTGGTTTTCACCTCGGCCAAATGAGAACCAATCACAAGCTCTCATGGGACTCGAATCTGTTATGTGTGAACAGAACTATTAAAATATGCAATGAATTCTATATTGAAAACACTACTAAGCTCTCATGTGACGATGGCGTGGCATTCCCCGATGGGCAAGCTGTTTGTTTGTTTGTTTGGACTACACAGACGACAGTGCTCTCTCTGTTCACTGAATGCATAAATAAGCTACAAGCTTTTCTCGATGGGTGACGAGATTGTGCGCCCATGGTCGCTATGCGTTCAGCATCGCAGGATGTAAAATGTTCCGGTAAAACTGGGTTGACCCAGATCTCAAACTCACATCAACTGGGGAAGCAACCCACGAAGTAGACTCCTAGGTGGACTGTTAATTCTCTTCTGACGCACGAAAAAGCCTGGATAGTTTCCGTAAGCATCAGACAAGGCTTGGTTTGCGTTTATCAGCTCGAGACATTGATGCCACCGTCGACAAATCCGGCTGCCCGTGAAAGGTCGGGTGTATGTTGCAGCAGTTGGGCTGGTGGTGGACCTTGGCCGATACGCAAGCAGAATAAGGATAGACTGTTGTTGTTCGGCCACCGTTGTATACCGTATTGCATGAGGCTGTCGGAGCAACCGAAAAAGTACTGTCGAGTTTAGGCGCAGAAGTTTAGATAATTGCGGCCGCTCATAAGGTTACGTGCTTGATCCGCATAGATATCGTTGACTGGGATATGTGTTACACAGGTCACCTGATAGGAATCATCGATTCGCGGTTTTTGTCGATTTCGAGCAATAGGTGAGAAAATGTCAAAGAAGGTCTAACAATGATCGTGTATGAGAGTATATACGTCCTGACCCAGGGAATCGGTCATAAAAGTTGCATTGGGCTTCTTCGCCAGGGGACCTCGGGATCAGTGTAATCGATGGTTAATGACACAGAGTGATACGATAAAAATTTGTAAACAGTGGCGCTTGTGTATCTACTCCCATTGACTCGTAACCTTGGTAGATTTGAATCCTCATCTTCAACGGGTTACTGATTCCTGTACTCCAATTCTTGCCTTCAGTGTTTTCTTTAAATGTACGTCCAAACAAATTTCACGAAAACCAGCACAAAGTTAATACGTGTATGAAATAAACTGAAATTACCGCTCCGATTCAGTCACATTTGATTACCCAATCAGCTTATAGAAGTGTGTGAACACATCAGGCAGCTTGCAAGCTGATTGCCAAGACAGACGAGAATGCAGCCCGAACGATTAACCTGATGTACCTCGGTAATTCCGGGGAAAGCGTGCAATGGAAATCTGCGTGCATGTACTACCCCCGCTGAGTTCATATGTTCTTACAAAGTGGAAAGAATAACCCAATTTGAAAAGAACAAACATTCGTACTTTTGTTGGCAGAGCATACGCTCTACAGACATACGTAGATCATGCCTGTGAGCCGATTCCAGTTCCACCGAGGTTCATGGTCGTTTTAATGACTAATTGTTGCAATCTATTTTACAATGCACCTTGAAAAGCATAAGAATTTTAGGTTAAAAAGGGTGACTAGGAAAGAGAAAAAATAACCAATCATTGTTTACTCACGTTAGCATAAACAATTACACTTTGATTGATATCACAAGAAGAACGGTTCCGGGCGATACCGAGTTCCCGGTCTATCAACTTCCCAGATCTAACGGTTCAGCACCGTCTTCCGCATCGGTCGGGATTACTATATCTTCTGGCCGCGGGGGTCTTGGCGGGAATACGCCATCCCATCGTGCATCCAGGGACACATAAGGTGTCGGGTCGGACGCTTCCCGATGCGTAGTTCCGTTTTCAGCGATCAAACTTGACACGGGAGGACCATCGCTTCCACCGGTCCCAATTGATGACTGATCAACGGAACCCGATACGGTCGTCGAACGAATACCCAACTGGGCCGCAACAGCCCGAAAGATAGTTTCAGCCTAATGGAAGGAGAGTGAGACGCGAATCAGCATTATACATATGCGTGAAATTTGGCGACTACAAAACACAGAAAGGAGAAAATTAGGTTGGAAATGCAAATACTTTTGTAGAAGGATAGACAGTACAACGCATGCAGTTATTGTCCTGTAAGTTACTAAAGTTAGACAATGGTACAGTTCTCCCGTTAACTCACACCAACTATTAATTATAGAACCATATTATCTAATAACAAGCATTAAACAAACTATACCAAAAATATTTCCTTAATCTGTCCTTGAAAGACGCCTTCAGCAAAAGAACTTTAGGTCCTGGCACCTTCACAAAAACAATCGCTCGTCCAACAAACTTCAAGCGTTCTCAGTTCAGAGTTGAGATGAGAAATGCAAGCAGGAAACTCAAACCTGTGCGTACTCCGATCGAAAATGAACATGGGTTTATGATCTGTAGCGATCTTGTCGAGTTACAAACATCATATCACTCACCCATCTACGTTTGGATAAGGTGGTCAACGCACCGGTCGCTGCGGTGAGAACAACTTTCATAGCTCCATTCGGAATAAATCCTTCGCTCTGCCCCACATTTTTGTCCAGTGTTGAAAAATAGAATAAATGACAGGCTGATAATCCCTGTCCAGCGGTACTCGGGGGTGTAGGCGACAAATATCTGTCTATAGGTTGGAAAAATAGTAAATTAGAGATAGTCACCTGCCTGACTGACCTTCACCACACACACTATGGGTGTTTAGGGTTCCGGCTGGTCACCCTCCCCTTGCATCTCGCGAAATGCTACCATACGAACAAGTGTCTCAAATAGCCTTTGCTGAGGAAGCCCTACTCACTGCCTTCTCGCGGTGGTGTTTCACACCAAAGTGAGAGGACGAAAAACCAACAACGGGGGCTATAACCGGGTTGGTGGACCACTGATGGTTCACCTAAGAGAGTTGGCCAAAAACCCTGATTCCAAACCAACCAAACAAGAAGAGGCGCACGAACCATACCCAGACCTTTTCGGTCGTGACAAAGGTCACCTTGGACGTTTGACCCCATCCAAAGGGTGTATAATGCGAAGAACCGAACACCGGNGCCCCCCAATGGATTGCGGTTTTCCCACATCGCTCGGCTACATTGCGAGTCAGGCTTTGGCAAGCTGAAGGCTCCGGCTGTGGATTCCTCAATAAATTTCACCCGTCATGGCCTGGGCAACCTGGCAGTATTCAACCCACAAGCCAATGATTTGTTTAACACAGTCTGACATCAGACGAACGAATATATATATATATATACGCTATACAAAATATCAGATTACCAAGCATCTACTGAGGAGTTACGGAGTCGTGGCTATGATCGGAGTATTCCTATGATGTTTGGGCACTGAATTTTTATATATAACTGTAAATCGAGTTCGTATGCTCAACAGTGAAGAATGAGCACGGCTTAAGATTCCACAATATGTTGGCCTGTTCGACCTAACATCGACAAATCGGAATAAGGGTCAATAGATAGATAGCAGTGGCGTAAATCTCTGGATACGATTATCCTTCCTGAAATTACTCGGGAGGTTTACATACAAGCTCGAAATGGAATTTATTGACGGGATTTGTGTCAGCTCTATCTTCTCGCGGCTAGAAATGAACCAGGTTTAACCGATGACATTCACGGAGGTGGACTTAGACTATCCGATGACCATTTTTTATCGATGTAATTCTTGGTCCGTGAGACTGCCCTACATATTATTACTGTTTTTACGCTTGCGCATTCGTTTATCATATCATTTGTAAGGTTTCGCTTGCCGTACCCTTTCCAAATCGTGCTCACATTCATCAGTCAATGTCATTCGATTTGGGATCGATAAAACTGTCATTTGATTCCCGGAGGGAATCAACAGTACAATATGGTAAATTTTCATGCAATTTTTAATGGAGATTGCAGTTGAGTTTCTCTCCGGCAAAAATAAACTTTTCACACACACACACACACGGAGAAAGATGACCGGCGGGAACTACAGTTTTGGCGCGTACCCAAATGCGTGAAACATACGCGCAGCCGATATTTTCTGTCCTGACGGGACCATGCAATGACGTTTCACGATGTCCTTAACTAGCGGAACATAATTGCTCTCTCTCTCTCTCTCCGTCGCACAGGTTTCCAACCCTGATCCACGTAAGTCGCCTGAACGGATCAATAGACCAACCAACCAACCACCCCCCCATCACCTTCACCCCCCGATTTGGCTGGCACACGCCTATTCGATTGTGTACGCAGAGTATGTCACACATGAATCTGTTCATACACGCATACGGTCACGCAGATTTCAGCGTTGTGGTCACCGGCAACGATGATAAACATGTGTACGTGGACAATCCACTATATGTCGGACTAAATAAATCGAGCCAGTGTAGAAGAGTAGGACTGCTGTAAAAAAAACGATGATAAAACCGGCGGAAAATCGACTGAAATCGAACGATCAGATTCTCAACCATGAGCGAAACTAGGCCAATGAGAGTGGCGTTTATACTCACTACGAGAACGATGCTGTACAATTTGTAGGAAAAAGTTCGTACAACCCATACAGGGAATCAAGTTACATCTTGCCACAGCTTTTATTCATAATAATTTCATACTTTGATTTTCGGCACATTGTTCTGGTGCTTCATTGTGAAAAAAAGGATAAAAGGGAAAAGGAAAGGAGAAAAGAAGAGAACAGAGAACGGGAGAAAAACCCTTTTAGCATTTCATTACTATCCAAACTGTTACACAAGTGGATAACTGTAAACCAGTGAATTCATCTACAAATCAATAATTGAATGAAACTATAGATAGGCTTCATCACTTGCTTAAACCGGACTAGATACGTGAACATAAGGACTGATTTTCCTGTTTGTTGAAAGAAGGAATGACGCGAAAATCAGAATACTGCGAACAGTATCAAGGTCACAAGAACACGAGAGCAGATACACGGGCGACATTGTTTATAATTTTTGTCATATTGTAGCGAGAGGGCGAGCTGGCTGGGAAAACGTTTATCAATCCAATTCAAAAACAACCGGTGTACGCGATCAATTATATATATTCAATTCTTAACCGCGCAGCAGGATGATTCATGCCTCTTTCTGTTGGTCAATCCCTGTCGGTCTTGGTCCGCACTTGGCACGTATGTTGCCTCTTCTTCCGCGTGCCGTTCCGGCTGGTTTGACCCGGTCGTAGCGCGAGATACATTGATCGACAGCTCCGACGTAGTGGCATTCGGTGTATATCTTTCTGGCTAGCTGCGGATTGTCTGTCGGGCTGTAATTGTCGATTCGTTCGTTTCGGGTGCTAGTCAACACTGTCTCTCGAAGCGTGTCACCTATCATACGGTTCTCTTATCCCGAGTAAACCAATCACTCGGAACGGCAAATCCTTGCGTCTATGCAAAGTGAATTTGACGCGCATGATACACGATTCGGATCAGGAAAACGAGTACGCCAAAAAAACGGGAACCAAGGAATTAGCGAGATGTCTGATCACCGAGACTTAAACAGAAAAAGGTAGCAATTTGTCATGCAACGGTGGGTGGTGACCTGGTGGTAACATCACCAAATGATCACCCAGCGGGGATGTGTGTGTTCGAATCCCATCACCACCGTCTCACCTTCCCCCCCCCTCGCCTGTGTGTTGCATGACAACCCTTTGACTGGTCGCTTTCTCCTTCCTGAAAATTTTATTTTTTGCGAATTCAATAAGACGAAGTAAAATAAAAAGAACAGAATTCCTTGAAGAAGGAAGAGTATCAAAGAATGAGGGAACTACTTGTTGCTTATTACGGATTATTCTATGATAAAGGCGTGTAGTAGACCAAGGAGCCACAATGATCATGAGGGCCAACAATCCCGAACACCAAGGCAACAAATTGCAAAAGGGCACACCGGACAATTGCTAAGTTGTTTAGTATCATCGGACCAAAAACAATAGAAAATCTGATGCAATTTCGTTGGATGAAGTTCTGACACTCAGAAGAACAGGTACGCGGCGCGAGAGGAGAAACGAAACATGGCCACAAAAAAACACATGACAGTTGAGCGCACAAAAACAACAAAAAAAAACACTTCTTTTTGGACAGAACAAAAAGATTCGATTGACGTGGTTTTTCTCTCCCTGTTCTTCTTGTGAAAGCGGAAAAATTATGACTGGTGTCAAGGTGTTCGAGTTATTTTAAACGTACATGCCAACACGGAGAAGAATGGAGGGAGATGATTTGCGCGATTGTTGGTATATTCACCATGGATCGCTTGATGCGGTCAGTCATCGTGAACCGAGGGAGGTAGAACGAGAACAAATAGTCTCAGTTTGTTTGTACAAAGTCAACATAGGCGTAATCTGTGAAAAGCCAATTTCTCTGGCTTGTAACAGAATCAGCAGTAGTCATGCACTTTCACCAATTTGACGGGATTCGAACCCAAGCGATAACCCTTTGGAGTCACATTCTGGTTGATTATCAGTGCCTCGTCAGCATCAAGTGACAAAGCATTCAGCCGTCCCGAACGGACCTCATCAAATAATGATCCACCGGTTGATGTTTGACTTCATACTACACATATTGTTACTCCGACTGAGCAGGCCAATAGTACCGAA